GATTGCCCAGCACAATCCACCCAGGTGAGTACAGCCAAGTGAGGCCGATGTTAAAATGTTAATCTCACTGCAAATGGTCCAAAGCGTTAAACTATTAAGTTGTTTCTTTAGGCATTACCCACAGAGGCAGCTTAGGAGCCCAACGACAAAACCAGCCTGGTACAATGTTTGGCTTTTAAGCCATAGCGGTGTGCCCAGCTTAATTAACCTCTTCATTACCCATAAGTTAGCTCTCCCCCATAAAAGATGACTTGCAAGTATGGAGAACAAGCTCATTTCAAAATTACAGAAATGTAATATAAAGGAGTATGACTGGCCTCGATCTCATCACTGCCTGCTTTGTCACACTTTATATGAGTAACTGTGTGCCTGCATCTCCATATCTGTGTGTTGCTTATGTAGCTGTGTTTGTCTGTGTCTATATTGTATCACATATCTGTGAGCTTGTGTGTGCCTATGATTATTGTGGGTTGTGTGTGTTGAGCATCCAGTATGTGCCAAGCACTATGCCAGGCACTGGCGATGCCCTGTGTAGAGACTCCATCCTTATAGCGCTTCCACAGAGAGCAGCTCATCTTACCAGGGAGTGAGGAGAGTCAGAGTTAAGAACCTTCAGCTCTTAAATTCCATTGTGGTAAGCAGAATATTAGCCTCCCAAAGGTGGAAACTGAACGTGTTATGTCGCATGGTAAAGGAGAATTAAGATAGCAGATGGAATTAAAGTAGCTAATCAGTTGACTTAATATTAGCCTGTATTATCCAGGTGGGCGCGATGTAATCACAAGGGTCCTTAAGAGATAGAAAGGAGAAGGCAGAAGGGTCACTGTCAGAGAACGACATGAAGTGAGAAAGACATACCAGCCATTGCTGGCTTTGAAGACAGAAGGGGCCACGAGCCAAGGGGTGTGGACAGCTCCCATAAACTGGGAAAGGCAAGAAAACGTATTGTCCCCCTGGAGTCTGCACAAGGGGCGCAGGCCTTCTGACACTTTGATTTTAACTCAGTGAGACCCATTTTCGTCTTCTGACCTCCAGAATTCTACCGCATTAAAACCTGTGTTGTTTTAAGGCGTTACATCTGTGGTAATTTGTCATAGCAGCAAAAGGAAAGAAATTTGCCAGTGGAAACTGGAGTCATGTCTTTAAAACGCACCCCTTTGTTTTCCTTTTAGCCTTAACTTAAAAGTGCCATGAATTGCATTTTACATAGGGGTCGGGTTGGAAAGTCAGCATGTAAACGAGAAAATGTAGAGTTGAAATTAGCCTCGAATATGCTTTCAATTACTCACTGCGTAGAGAGCAGGGACTGGGATCCCCTGAAATGAGATCAACACTCCCCAACGTGTCCTCAACCTGGGACGTCAGCTGACGGACTGGGAGGTTCAGCTAAACAAATCACACTCTTTAAATCCTTCCTCCCTCTAAGCACATAATTAAATTTGCATCAATTCAAAGACCATACGGTACAATTCCATTGTAATTTCAGATTTTGTTTTTATTCCCTGAGTTTGCTAAGGAAAGCAAACTCCTTATGGAAAAACAAAACCTGCTATTTGTATCGAGGCTTGTTCTCTTGTATTATACACAATAGCAAGCATACAGAGAAGTCTGGAGAGACTATAACCCACATCTCTGCACATTACCTATCTCGGACAAATTCTAACATCATTCTACATTTGATTCAGAATTTTAAAAATAAATTAAATGAAACGTTACACATACAGCTGAAACTCAGTGTCCTCCTGACCTTTGCAGGTACCCTCCCCACCTCCCTTTCTCCCACCCCAGGGAGCCTCTCTCATTCCTGGTTTTGATATTTAGAGCATTCCTGGGCATGCTTTTATGTTTCTATCACGCAGATCTGTGCATACCCATAAACAATAAAATGTCAGTTTACATGTCTAGAAAGATTCCGTAAATGGTCCACTGCCTATAGCCCTTTGCAATTTGCCCCCTTGTCCTCCAGCTCAACATTATGTTTCTGAGATTCACCCACATTGATACCTGTAGCTCTGGTTCATTGTTTTTAACTGCTAAATAATATTTGATTTTATGAAAACACAGTTTGTTGATCTGCTCTTCTGTTCCTAACTACGTAGGTTGTTTCCAACTTCTCTTTATTACAAAGCTCCAGCGGACATTCTTGTACATTTCCGTGAGCCCCTAAGCTGGAGTTCCTCCAAGGTATATACTTAGAGGGGAAATTGCTAGGTCAAAGGATGTGTTTAGCTTTAGTGTCACCGGTTATTGCCAAATTGCTTTACACAGTAGTCACACCAACTTCCCACTGGCTCTGTATGCAAGGTCCCTTTAATCCATATCCTGGCCAGCACATACTGGCTTCTGCCCATCTGATTGCTAATGGCCTTTATCTTTCTTAGATTGCACAGTTGACTCTCACAGCAACCCAGGACACAGGTGGCACAGGTCTTATGTATGCCCACCTGGCGGGAGGGCATAGGGAGGCCCAGGGAAGGAATGATGAGCCCCACAAAGCTAGCAGTGGCCCGTCAGGAGCCACACAAACCCAAGAGTCTTAGATCCCAGGCACTCATCACCACGGGAACTGGACACATGGCCAGAACACACACTGCAGCCACCTTTAGAGAATAAAAGGTATTCACATAATTTGTACTACGCGGTAAATGTCAACAACTATACACGCTAACAAAGGGCAGGAAAGACCATTTTTGGAGATTTATATTTCACAAGGCCATTTTCTATGCATTCCTCACTTGGCCCAGACAACCCCTTAAAAAAGACTTGGATTATATTCCCCTTTTATAGATAGAAGTGAGCCTCGTGGCTCATCAGCAGCAAGAAGGTTGACTTCCAACCTATCTGCCTTTAAAGCGTGTCTTCTAACGTTCACTTGCAGATGGTTGTCTGAGAGCTGGAAATTCTCTGTATGTGTCATCTCTTCTGTTTCCCCGTAAGTGAGGTCATACCACAAACACGGAGCATTTCCCCCAGGGGTGAGGCCCAGCCCTCCTGTTTGTACGCCTGGAGTCTGACGCTAAGAATATCCAGGCTGTGCCACCCAGTAGGACTGTGACCTTGGGCAAGTTACTTCTTTCCTGTGCCTTGGTCAGTCGTCTCATCTGTAACGTGGGTGATGGCAGCTACTTCCCAGCAAGGTCGTATGGACCGGCTGCCATAACACATCTATAAAGTGCCAGACACACAGAAAACACGCCATCGTTAGCTCCTCCGAGGAAGACCGCGATGGGGACTTCTGGCTACCCCCGGGAGGGCGGGGCGGCCCGGGTGAGGGAGAATCGCCCGGGGCAGGCCTCGGCACACACAAGTCATCGATGCTGGAGCTGCCCATCCGCAGGGGCTCGGAGGGCCCGGCTCTGGAGGTGCAGGCTTGCTGCACCCAAGGGCAGGCCCAGAGGAAGCGCAGCCAGGACAGGGGGCAGGAGCTTCTCCCAGCTCCCTTGAGGGACTCTTGTAAGTCTATAGCTCTGTTTCTCTCATGACTTGAACAACGTCAAAAGATTACAGCCAGAGGACTTACTGTGGCTGCCACAGCTGACTGGGAGCTGACCAGGCCCTGCTTCCAAAGCAGGGCTCAGCAGGTCCACAGCAAGTGTGTTGGGTCAAGAGAACTTGCGATGAGTAAGGAACCAGAGATGCATTGATGACCTATTCTCACTTCCCAGCCATCCCTGAAGGCCTTGTTCATGAGCTGAGAAACAACCCAAGGTCACTGCTGTCCGAAACCTCATCTAGTCATGGAGCCCCAGTGACAGAGAAGGGCAAGTACACCATAAAAACTAGGAGGGCTCAGCTGCTAGTTCTGCCTCTCTTCAGCTGGGTGAAATTTCATCTTTGTAAGCCCCAGCCTGAACAACTTTTCAGTGGAGCTAAAGACGCCTGTCCCACCACCCTTGCAGAGCTGTAATCGGAAATGAGATAGCACGCACGAAGTGCCCGTGAACGGCTGCGTGCCAAGTTAATGGCAGTCATGGCCTATCACACTCAGCCATCCTAGCTCTTCCGAGTGAGGTATTCAGCTGTGCAGGTGGGGACCTGGCTGAGTCATCCATACCTTCTTTCCTGGGTCAGGCACACATTTCCCCAGATCACTGGCTCATTCCATCATGAACATGACAAAGCCTGAAACTCTATCCAGTACTTCCAGGAGCTAAATCTGCAACCCTGGCCTCCCAGGCTTCCTGCCCCAATCAGGGGAGACGTCCAACCATGGGGATAACCACACAGTCAGCTGGTGACAGCCAGATGGGGAGTCATGGGGCCTTTGGAGGCAGCTTTCAAACCCCAGCTCTGCCCCTCACTAGCTGGGTGACCCTGGATAAGTCACATATCTTCTCAGTTCAGTCATTTGTGAAATGGGGGCAAAAAAATAGGCATCATGCTGTTGGGAGAAGTAAATGAGGCTATATATGCTTGTCACACAGTAAGCCAACAAATCATGGCTTCAAGTTTATCTCCCAGGGCCTCTAACTCATCATCTGTGAATCGGGGGCAATTGCTGCTCCCTGGCACAGCTGTTGTGAAGATGAACTGAGGTCATGTATGGAGCAAGCACAGGATTTAGCTCATGACCGGAAGCTCCATGATGCAGGGCCTAGGTTTGTTTTATTATCTAATGACCACTCCTAGCCACACGTGGTAGCACTCAGTTAACGGTTGTGGAACAAATAAACGAAGTAAGTACTGCAACTTTCTTTAATGTCTCTGGGCCTCAACTTCCTCATCTGTAAAACGGGCACATGAACACTTACCTGGGAGGGCTGCTGTGAGAACCAAGGGCCTACAGCCAATGTTCCAAACATCCTAATACACTGCACATCGGGAGGCCCACTGAGCATGCCCGGCACCCCACTTCCTAGGCAGACACCACAAGAGGCAGCTGGGTAAGTAAGAATAATGTTTACTGAGCGATACAGGACTGAGTACTATGAAGGGTTTACCAGGATGGAAATGCACCCCGCCCCCGCCCCGGCCCCCCCCAACACCCAGAGACTACAGTACTTAGGAGTTACAAACAACGGCCATAACTGCTGAATATCTGTTCGTAACAAACAAACCATAGCATATTTATACTGTATCACATCGAGTGATTATAGAAATCCATATATATATTGCTTGTATAAAATCTTTTTTTTGTAAAAAATATTAAAAAAAAAAAAAGAAAGTATAAAAAAACATGTGCAGTTGAAAGCCCTGCCAGGACAGCCAGTCTGTAAACATTCAGTGAGTATGTGCTTTGGAAGGGCGCCCGCGCCTCGTGCCCACAGCAACTCCAGCAGGGCCGGCGAGGGTGCGCCCCGGCTGCCGCTCCGGCAGGACCGCGCTGGGCCGCGGCGGGCGGGTGCAGCAGGGCCTGGCACTGTGCCCCTCTCCAGCTTTGCATCGGGGTCAGGGTCAGGGTCAGGGTCAGGGCTGGGGGCAGGCAGATTGCAGTTCCACTCTTGAGTTCCATCCTCAGCCGCGCATCCTGGTTGCAACGCATGGTTTTTCCTGGCTGCTCGGAGGTCCCTTGGGTGGGTGCCCAGGAGGACGGGCCAGAGAAGTGCACACAAGCTGCCCGGTTGGGCGTCTCTCCGGCCCAGAGCCTCTGTCCTGCCTCCTTCCAGCCTGGCCCCAGGCAGGACAGCCCCACCCTCAGGGCTACTTTGGTCTCAGCGCTTGGTCCTGGGTTTCATCAGCCTGTTCCTCTCCTGGAGTGGCTGATCGGAGTTTCACAAAAAAGCCCGGCCGATGCTGGCTGTGCTGAGCCTCATCCAAAAGTTTTTCATGCAGCAAGGAAGAGCCCTCTGGGACCCTCCTCCTCCTCCCTCTCCCCATCTCCTCCTCTTCCTCCTCCTCCTCCCAGCCCATGGTCACTTCTTCTCCAGCTGCTCCAGCAGCGGGTTGCCTTCTGAGTCGGGGGTCTTAACGCTGTCGGTCCGGACGATGCAGGTGGGGCGATGCCGGTTCAGCATCAGGATGAGCTGCTGCCGCTCCTGCTTCAGCTCCTCGATCTGGGTTTTCAGCTCCGCGTTCATGAGTTCCAGCCGCTCAGATTCCTGTGCGCAAACACAGAGACATGGCTTTAAGTTTCCACTGGGGACGGGCTCTGCCTTTGGGTAGGCACAAGGCTGGCATCTCCCTGTTTTCTGTCTGCCAGGTTCCCACTGGAGGAAGCGCAGGACCTACTCTGGAGCCCCTGGGGTAACTGCCTTTCTAGTGTCCATCATGCCTGTGACACTGGCCCGTGTCACCTGTGGCACGAACCCAAGTTTATCTGGCGCCAGCCTGGCTAATGTCCCACCTCTTCCCTCACTCAGTCTTCTCCAAACTCAGTGGCTTCCTTGCCATTGCTCAACTATGCCAGGCCTCTCCTGCGTCATGGCCTTTGCATAAGAAACTAAAGGCGGGAGAGGACTGGGGGCCCAGCGCTCTCTCTAGAGCACTGGACACGTTTGCGATGGGTCCACAGAGGGGCTAAAGGTGGCCCTTGGGTGGCAGTGAAAGGGCAAAGTGCTTGAGTGACAAATGCGTGTTGCAGAAATCTTGGCTTCTGGGATGAACAAGCCCTGTGTGGTCATATAGTTCCTTTTAAAACATGTGCTTCTTGGTTATTAGCCTGTAATTGTGTAAACCGCCTCTATCTAGCTTTGCCCATTGGGAGGCAATAACCGTCATCTTCCTGGATCCAAAATGAGGACTCAAATGGACCTCAGGAGAGATTGCCAACGAACTTCCTGCTCAGTTGGCATGGCCTCAGGGAAAGGAAAGAATGTTGGTCTGACTTCGGGGAGGGGGTTAATTTATTGTGTGGATAGTGATGGGGTGCCGATTAAAGGCTTGGAGGTCACAACAATGAAGTAGAAAATCTCCTGAATGATTTTTCTTGGACTGTGTCTAAAAACTTACGAGTTTGTTTTTCAATCCTCACCCAAGGATATGACTGAATTGATTTTAGAGAGGAAGGGGGAGAGAGTGAGAAAAACATCCATGTGAGAGAGAAACATCGATCAGTTGCCTCCCCCATAAGCCCTGACTGTGGATCGAACCTGCAACTTTTTGGTGCATGGGACAATGCATCAAATGAGCCACCTGGCCGGGGCAAAACTTATAACCAGCTTGAGAGTTGGAATTTATCCACTAACCAGCAAAGTTTTAGACCGGCAGTTCTCTACCAGGAACAATTTTGCCTCCCAGAAGACATTTGATACTGTTTTTGGTTGTTACAGCTGGTGAGGGGGTTGCTACTGGCGTCTTGTGGCTAGAAGCCAAGGATGCTCCTAAATATTCTGCAATGCTCAGGGTGGCCCCACAAAAAGAACTATCTTGTCTGAAATGTAACCAGTGCTGAGGTTGAGCAAGCTGTATTAGACTAAGAACAAGCTGCGGTTGCAACTGTGTGTGTGACAACAGGCTGAGTGGCCCTGGTTCGGACCTATGATCTTGCCCCTGCACCTCAGGGGACCCCACACGCCCTAGGCTGCTGCCTTCCACACACCAGCAGGTCTGACTAAATTGTTCCTTACGCTAGTCTCTGAAGGGGCAGCGTCAGTGCCTGGGGACCTCAGAACTGCTGAGATGTACAGTCTTTGTGACTACATGCTGAGGGAGAACAGTCTCAAAAAAAGGGGAAAAAAATGCTCAGGGGGAAAATATTGAAAACTAGCTATGGTGGTTTTTAGTTCAACAGGATGAAGCGCAACGGGAAGGCTGGCGTGGTCCACTGTTCTCGGAATTCTGAGAGAAGTCCAGCCCCGAGGGCGAAGAGGGACCCCACGTGAAACCCCCGAGTCTGTGACCTGTCTGTCTAGGGCACTCAAGTGCTAACCTTAGCCACTGGCTCACTGAGTCTGACGATCTAGCGACCTTGGGGAGTTCTCACAAACCTTGTGACCCCCTGGCCCTCCCCAGCCCAGGCTCCAACCTTGAATCCTGAGCCTCTGCCTCACCCACCCATGAGTGTCTGCTGAGGACCCGATGTGTACGATGAATGTGCCAGAGAAATCCAGAGACCCGTGAGTCCCCAACGTGGCTCTCGTATGGCTTCCACTCCAAGGAGAAGAATTCCCACAGCAGGGCAGAGCTTAGTGTGTGCCTGTCAGCCAGGCAAAGTCTGGAAGACCTTCAGAGGGGCTCAGCGGCCACGTCTGACCTTGGATTTGAAAAATCAGTTGACTCTCTGGTTGAGTAGGGAAGGTCGGTGGGGGTGAGGGATTTCAGGAAGGGAGCCCTGAGAGAGCAAAGACACACACACACACACACACACACACACACACACACACACGGAAAAGCTTACAGTGCGTTTGGGCTGTCAAATCCTCCCTTGCGACCATACGTCAGCTTAGGATGTAGTAGGGTAGAAAGCTGGCAGGGTGTATGCAGAACCAGACTGAAAAAAGCTTTGGGGTTTGAAATCAGAGTCTAGAGCAAGTTTCTTAACTTCTCTGAGCCTTGATTATCTCGCCTATAAAAAGATGATTGTGAACTTACAAGCAAAGCAAAGGCTCAGGGAGGCTGGAGGAATTTTTACTTTAAGCTATGAGCAAGAGAATATGAAGAAAGAGGGAGAAGACAAGGACGAAGAAAGCTTGGCAGGTCTTGGTGACTGCCTGGGTTTGAAGAATGACAGCCAGGGACAGAGCCCGCTGTGAGCCTTGGGGAGGGGAGCTGTTCTGGAGAGCGGTAGGGAAGGTCAAAGAAGGGATTCGGTTGCAGAGCGGTGAGTGGAAGGCAAACATGGACACGTGAGGAGCAGTATCCAGTACTACACACAGATGCTCCTCCCTGAAATGACGTCACGCCCACCCAACCTTATACTGAGGATCTGTGTCACACACAAGACGAAGCAGGTGTGTGGCACCTTGCTTCACGCATGCATTTATCACAGGAATGCCACTGCATTCCGTTAGCTTTGAACTATTAGGGTATATGGTGGGATACCATCTGGCCATTCGGAATGTCACTAACTGCTTTTTGGTTTTATTTTCTTGTTTTATGGGTTGGCGCTAACAGGTTGAGTTCAGAAGAATCTTTTAGCCATGATTGTAGAAGTGGTTCATGGCTTTAAAACAGCAATTACCTGATCTGTTTTCCTAATTAATTAGGAACATGGGCTAGCATCTTCACATGTTAATTATGAAGTGAACAATGGCTTGCATTTTTGTTTATCATTTTGCCCCTGGTAGATCTTTATTGCCCTAGAGAAAATGAGATCATTTTTGTTTTAGAATACAATTAGAATGTGAAGTTTCAATCTCCTCCACTGCGACCAGCAAAGGCAACAGACAAAGTACAAGGTGAGGGGCTGGGCATCCTGGCTTTTCCTGTCCTGTCTGTGTGACCTTGACCAAGTCACTCCCCTTCTCTGGGCCTCAGTTTCCTCCCAGAAAAATATAACGACTGGCCCAGGGGACTTTAAGCATTAAGATTCTCTGACTCTACTTTTTATTAAAGTCACCCTGAGGGATGGGAAGAAGCCTGGGGCAACCTTCTGAACTCAGAAGACCTGAATTAAAGTCCTGACTGCCATGTGCTAGTTATGTGGCTGTGAACAACATTCCCAATTTCCCTGAGCCTGGGCAGTCTGAATAGAGCTCCAAGCCGGAGAGGAAGCGCTGGGTTCTAGACCTGACCCACCCACTGTGTGACCTGGAGCAAAGGCCTCTGAGTCTCAGCGTCCTCAGTGGAATGGGGCTGCCCTGCCTCCTTCTAGGCCAACGTGACCACCAAGGAGAGAGTGGCTCTGAAGAGCCCAGGGCGCCAGGGGCGCAGGAGACGGTGTCCCTGCTACCAGTATGCAGAGAACCTGTGTTAGCAAAGCAGCCCCAGAGGCTGGCCTCCCAGGAGCGGGAAGCCTCGGGGCCCTGCTGCAGACAGCGGAGGCGCGGAGCTCCCCTCTGGGGCCTGCAGGCGAGAACCTGGCCCACCCAACGGCCTGCCTCCTGCCTCCTTCAGAGCCCCGGCTGGCCCAAGAGAGAAGGCTCTGTGGGGTGCAGGACTCTCCCGGGGGGATCGAGGTATCCAGGGGTCAAGGGTGCGAAAATGATTGTTTACATACATATGTGTATGCAAGTGTGTATGTATGTACACATACATCCCTTTCTTTGCACCTCTGGGCCTTGTGAATACTATACCTGCTAACAGTAAATTCCAAGAGACGTCCCCAAGTCTCTGGACACTGACTGTCAACACAGCCATCTGCATTCCTGCCTAAACCTCACACCCATCCTCGGCTTCCAGGGCCAGATGGGGGCGGGGGAGATGGGGCATCGGGCAAAAGGGAAGGGCTGGGCTCCGGCCCACTCGGACTTGTGCAAACCTCCCTCCTAGACCCAGAGGCTATGCTTGTCACGCTTACAGCTGCCGCCTTCTCTCACCACAACAACACCGTAGCCACATAAGGGACCTTCCCACCTTGTTCTCAGCTGCCCCAATCCGTGCCCGGGCTACAGCAGAGGGATCTTTCTAAGGCGTGTCTCTCTCTCCTTCTAAAACCCTCCCCACTGCCATACAAGTCCTCATCCTAATGGGGACAGTCGTGAGAGTGGGAGAGGGTGGTATTCATAGGCAGGCCAGGGCGACAGGCACACCCTGGCAGTGCCCCTGGCAGCCCAGCAGGTCACCTGGCAGACTAGGGCTCTGGGGCCTCAGCCTCCCCTTTCTCCGGCCTGTGCTCTAAACTCCAGCCACCCTCCAATTCCTTAAACACATTCTTAAACACCTCCTGCCTCTGGCCTCTGCTCGTGCTCCTCCTGGTAACCCCCTCCATTCCCGCCCTTCACCTCAGCCAGCTCCTACTCCCCTTCTATGTCTCAATAAGCAGTCTTTCCTCAGCCTAGGCTTGGACAGGGCCCCTCTGGATGTTCTCACAGCTCGCTGGGCTTGCCCAACATAAGGCTCAGCACATGTTCCTATTCCTCTTTTCCCGCCTGCCGACCCCCCGCACACACCGCTTGCTTGTGCTCTGTGCAGCGGGCGCTCACTCCACACGTATTGGATGGACAGATGCATCAACAAATAAATAAATGAATCCTAGCCCTGCCCCCTGCTAGCAGTGTGAACTTGGCCAAATAACTTGACCTCTGAGCTACATATCCATGTCTAAGATGGGGATAGTCAATATCACCCTGGAACATTTTAAGACTAAATGAGACACGTGTGATGCCTGGCACACAGTAGGTGCTCAGCAAGTGTCCCTGAGATGTGAAGAGTAGCTAGCAACATTCATTTGGCACTGACTGTTTTTTTATAAAGATTTTATTTACTTAGAGAGGGGAAGGGAGGAAGGGAAAGAGAAAGAGAGGGAGAAAAACCTTGATGTGTGAGAGAAACACTGATTGGTTGCCTCTTGCACACCCCCAACCAGGGACCTGGCCCAAAACCCAGGCATGTGCCCTGACTGGAAATTGAACTGTCGACCTTTTGGTTCTCAGGCCAGTGCTCAATCCACTGAGCCACACCAGCCAGGGCAGGCACTGCCTGTTTCCTGCACTAGTGTGCTATTAGTTTACATTCGCTTGGCACATCGTGTCTGCTCACTGGCTGACCAGCCCCTGAAGGCAGGGATTGGATGTGAGACTTCTCTGTTCTCTGCTGTGCATGGCCAGCTCTGCAGATACCCAGGACTGGAAATGAGTATGTGACACTCCATCCATCTTAACGGTCCATGTGAGGCCAGTGTCTTAGAAACTGCTCGGAGACATCCAGTCCAATGTTGGTCCACCATCTCTTCCAAGGGGCTCTGAGATCTAGGAGCCTAACCTGGCCCAGGTGCTCTCAGCCGAGACGTGTCCATACAGTCCCGTGCTGATTACACAGGGACCTCAGGTTTGCTCTCTGCCTGTCGCAAGCCTGAGAAGAGACCCAGAGACTCCCCAGTGTCAGAGAAAACCAAGACCAACCCGGCTTCGTCTCTCCAGCTGCCATAGGAGGAACCACGTCTGCTCCTACCTGTGCGCCCCCTAGTGTACCTAACACAGTGCTGGGCACCTGGTACAGGCTTAAAAATACTTGTCAACAAATCGATGAATGAGTAAAAGAATAAATAGAAAAATGAATGCATGAATTAGAGTCAGTAGAGAAGAGTGTTAGGAATAAATGCTTTGCAGTTAACCTCAGGCTGGAATCTCAGTTCTACCACTGAGTTGCTGAGGGTCCTGGGCAAGTTATTTAACCTTGCCATGCCTCGGTTCCCCCAAGTGTAGAAGGAGGACTGCGAAAACATGTACCTTGTATAGTTATTATGCCAAAAAAGTGAGGCCAGAGACACGCAGCACAGTGCCCGACTTTACAAATGTTAGGAACCATTGTTAATTGCTGCATACTGTAGGACAGAGCCTGGCTCATGATCTTATTATCATATATTGTAACTATTATTATTTAGAAATGAAGAAGGGATTGGGGGTGGGGAGGCTGGAGGCTACTGGCCTGGATTAATTAGCTTTCTGGTCAAGTTCCTTCATTGCCATCTACCATGTTTGAGAATCAGCGAAGGCCTAAGAGATGGGACTCAGCAGAGAAAGAATAGACACCTGCTTGGCATATTCCAAATGAAAGGGCAGGGGACCTGCTCTGAGAGCCACGAAGAAAGGCAACCCTCCACTGGCCTTTGCATCAGAGCTGACCTCTGGACCCCGGGGGCAGGAGCAAAGAGACCAGCCCGCTGCCAGGCAGAGCTGGAGCCTCCCGCAGCTAAGGGAGGCACTGTTCTCTGTCCAGGTGCTGTGTCCACTGCCCACATGCAGGGCGGTATCACCTACTTCATCAACACCCACCCTAGACAACTTTGGCAGCCACCAGGGTACCAAAATAGGTAGCATCAGCCCTGAGATCTCTGGGTCCATCAGCACCAAGGGTCTAACCTCAGGGGAGGGAACTCGGCTCCTCCCACAGGTCTCCTCCAGTAATCCAGGTGGGCCAGAGCGGCCGCAGGCTGCCCTTGGCTGTCTTGGCTCAGGATTGGGCATTAGAGAGGAGCAGGGAAGAGCAGAGGGGCCGAGGCTGCTGGGATAGATGCCCAGGTGCACACTGACCCCACAGCTTTGATGGCATCTTTTAGCCCACACATGTGCAAGCCCACTCCCCGCCCTGGCCAGCTGCCCTGCTCACCCGCTGCAGAAACTCTGTCCGCTCCTTCTTCTTGTTCCGGCAACGGGCTGCCGCAACTTTGTTCTTTTCCCGGCGCCTTTTCCTCCGCTCTTCTTCCTCATCTAGCTGTGAGGGCAGAGAGCCACTGGTTAGACACTGAGGTGGGCCCGGAGGAGAGCTTCCCTCCTGACGTACAGACAGGCAGATGGACAATGCCCCTGCCGACCCGCATGTCAGCAGTGAGGAAGCTGTCGCTGTCTGCCAGCTCGCTGGCCTCTCAGCCGATGACACAGAGATACTTCCCATCCAGCCCAAGGACCCTCTGCAGGTGGACACCCCTGGGGGCGGCAGGGCGGGGTCAGGGCCCCGGGAAGGCAGGGCTGCCTGGGTTTGGACTGAGTTCAGGAGGCCCAAACCTGGGGGTCTACTCAGACAGAGGTGGCACCCAATGGTGACGGTCTGTTCTCCTGCCCTGCCCGAGCCCTCTGGGCACTATTTTCCAGGCCAGCAGTTCTCAGGCACTTCCTTTAAAGCTGCCTGGGTGTGGGCACAGCTTTTGCATTCTGCTCCCACCCTCCATCACCTCCCTGAGGTATCTTCTTCCTCCCTCTCAGTCCTTCCAAATGCTTGAATCCACCTTCTTGTCTACTAAACAGTCTCCCGGCCTCCTCGCCGCCTTTGGTCCCCTTCCCTGCATGTTCCCAGGACACCCACCTGCATCCTAGGGCCTCAGAGGCTCCCGCCAGTGCCCTGCTCAGGACACAGGCAGGGGGGCTTCCTGAGCCTCTGGGCTTACTTCTCCCCAGGGCACAGTAGGAAACGTGCCACATATGACAGCGGGCCCACGACACGGGAAGGAGGAAACTCGCTGCCCACCAACCCTGGCTGTCAATCAGAATGGCCGTTGTTATTGTTTCATTGCCAACAATAGCAAGAGCTGCTCTCTGTTGTCTACTTTGCTAAATGCTTTAAACACGGGTCATGTACCCTTGCAGTCAAAGTTTGATGAGGAAGGTACAATTGTTCCATTTGATAGACGGTGATACCGAGGCTCAACAGTTCAATACATCCGAGGCCATTTATCTAGGAAATGGCGGAGTCAGCATTCCAACTCGGACTTCTGTGACTTCAACCTTCCTGCTCTTGACCAGTGGCCCACCAGCCCCAGCCCATCAGGATCATTTTGATGTGATGCCTCTCATGGTCCACTACCTACAGGAGACTCTGGAGGACACACACGACCAGCTGGGCTGGGGACAGGCTAGAGTGAGAGGCCACTAGAAGTCATGGACTGCCCTGGGCTTGCCAACTCTCTCACTTCTGGAGCCAGGGGGGTGATTCTGGCAGCCTGACGCCTGGAACAAGGTCTCTGCCGACACGGCTTTGGGCCAGGAAAGTAAACAGCCTCTCTCCACGCGCTCCCAGAATGCTCTAGAAGGTCAGGACCCAGGGCCTGGGCCAGAGACCAGCACCCACGGCCACTGTCACGGCCCTGGCCGCGCAGCCCGTCCTCCTTCTCCACCACCTCTGAACCTCTCCCTGACCCACTCCCACCCCGCCTGGGAGGCCGGCTGGAGAGGTGCCTCGTCAACACAGCCGCACCCAAGCACCTCCCAGCCCCCGGCCTCCTTTGAAACAGAACCAGAAGTGACAGCTCCGCTGGCTGACCCGCATCGGGGAAAATAGAAACCTGGACAAAATCGATTCCGCCCAACCTCAACCTCACCCCCAACAAAGCAGAGGTAACCGTGACGACAGGCAGAGGGAAGGAACTGGAGGAAGTGGCAGGCCGTGCAATCTCCCCTCGGCCAAGAGGGTTTGCCCACAAACTGCTAAGGTGATGTGTGCAACCCGGAGCGCCCCGGGTTCTGGCAGAGCTGCTGTTTCTTAGGAGACACAACCCCTGTCCTAACAAGCTTCCTTTTAGGTAGGATGAGGCCCAGCTTCCTACCCCACCCCCGTGCAGGGCCTCATCCGACCCAAAGTCCGGGGTACTCGGGAGCTGCTCTAGCAGCTGATGCAAAGAGGCTCAACGCGGGAAGTTTCAGAGCTCAGTCGGGCCTGGCTGAAGCCCAGAGAGAGGGCTGCTCCCTCCACTCCCCCAGCCACATCACTCCCCTCCTGCCGTCACCCTCCGTTCCTAACATCCCACCCTTTTCCAAGCCAGCCAGGCCCGCCTGAGGAGGACCTTCCTTTCCCACCTGGAGAACTCTTACTCAACCCTCAAGAGCAAATGCCACCTCCTCTAGGAAGGCTCTCTGGACCTCAGGATAGAATTAACCGCTTTTTCTGTGCTTTTCCTGTTGCAGCACTGTGAGCACCTGAGTGTAAGAGGCTCTGTCACATCCCACCCTTAGTCTCTGCTGACTTAAGTACCGGTCTTCCCAGCTGGAGCCCTGAGCGCGGCCGGCACCTGGCATAGAACATGGCGCTTAGTAGGAGTCCAGCAAATGTAAGTCAGATGAATGAATGAACAAAGGATTCTGGAGAAAGATGGCATAGGCTTGGGTTCTATAATTATAAAAATGATTTATTGCCTACTTTTGTATTTGCATAGCCTTTCCCCCAGGGCTCAGAAGGAGCTTTCTCCACGGGAATAGGCTCTTCTCTCTATCTCAGGAGGCCAGCAAAGTTTGGGGCTGGGGTCCCATCTACTCAGAAGCACAGCAATGAAATGAAGGCAGAGCCTAGATTCGGGGTACAGGCCCCTGATGGCTGTGGCAGGTCTGCACGGGTCTTCAGCAGGCGCTGAAAGGATCCCAGCTGTGCCCTGAAGCCTAAAGCCTCCAGCCCCACAGCCACCCCAGCTTCCAAGCCCCATCCCCGGCCTTTCCCGTGCCCGTGCCCCCCCCCCCCCGCCCGCCCTGATGTCTCCCAATAAGGCAAGAAATGGCCCAGAAAGCCGCATCGCCACACCTTCCCCATTGACACTGTGCTGCACCTCCCCACAGTGTTCCTGCTGCGATTTAAGAACCACCCTAAGGACACGGAACAATCGGCTGCTAACGCCCCACCAGAAATGTGGGGCGGGGCCATGCGTGGCAGCCTGCCCCATCCCTGACTGGGGCTCCTTTCGCCTGGGCCGGTGTGAAATGCAGCCCCCAGCTGGGACTGTTTGGAGACCTCCGAGGCCCCCTCCAAGCCGTCTTTCATCCCCAGGGCCAAGGCTGCTGTCCTGCCTCCCCGATGTTCCCTGGGTGAAAGCATCTGGCCCGCGAGCAGGCCAGAGACAGCAGAGGCGGTTCTCAGACATCTAAAAATGGAATCCCAAAATGGGAGGTGACATTTTTTTCTGCAGATACAGCTGGAAGAACCAGGATGTTTGAGGAGGAGGCAATTTGACACTCAATACATTTACAGAACCAAGAGACGGGGGTTAGGGATGGAGGGGAACATATCTTTTCCTGTTGTCAGGCTTAGTGCTGGCTCTGTCTTTCCCAGATTCCCAGCAAGGCCCAGGGCAAAGCTGTCTGTGTTCTGGCAGAGAGGGGTGCCCCTGGGCCATATTCACATTGAAGGGACTTGGGGAGCCATGCCAAGAGGGCCCTCCTGCCAAGCTGTCCTGCCCCGGGGAGCTTATTATTCTCAAGCCCCTGCTCAGGGCTGGGGACCCCAGCCCCCGGCCACAGCCGATTGGACAAAGTGTGAATGGCTGACCTGGGATGTATTTACCTCCTGAAAACTTAAAACTGGACTGCTGGACTGGGGAGCAACCAACTTCAGCCATGTGCCCAGGGCAGCAGAAAGACCAGGTTGCTGGAGGCGAGCAGAGACCAGAGACGGTGTGACAAGAGAGACACTCACATTCAGCTATAAGAGGGAGTCAGAGAGGCAAAGAGAGGGAATGGGCAACAGAGGGAAAAACAGAGCCTGAACCAGGGGGAGGCAAGCAAGGCACCCAAGGAGACACATTTAAGGAGGGGCTCACTCTGGGGCTCATGCAAGGGCAGAGTCAGCACCTGAGAGCGAGTGCCTCCTTAAATACCTCACCCTGCGTATCTTGCTTGCCTCACAAGCTACAGACTGAGAAAGGTGAAGGCTGCAACAGCGGAAACAGAAACATGGAGAACAAAGAGAAAGAGAGAAAAAGAGAGACAGACCCCAGAGACACACCATGGAGACATGGACAGAGGCCAGCATACAGACAGAGTGGAGAGACAGAAAGCACACACAGAGAAAGAAACTCTTGATCCCACCTCCCAATTCCACCCCTGGAGAGGCCTGGCTACGCTTCCTGGCCTGGGGGTCCATGACGAGGCATACCTCTGCCTCTATGCTGAAAACCCCTCTGGCCTGGAAAGAGTGTGAGGTTTCTGCCGCTCGTTACTGAAAGATGCCCAGGACACCAGGGTCCCACCCTTGTGAAATCACATGATGTCGGGTAAAAATGGAGGCGGAGAAGGGGGTCCCCGGGGCCCAGGGGACAATCACAGCCAGCCGGGAGCCTTTCGGCCCCGGAGCACATGGAGGCAGGCCGCCTCACCGGGAATCAAACAACCTGCATGAGGAGTCCAGGGCTTAGACCGCCTCGGCAAACCATCCAGGACAGTCTTTCCCTCCCCCACTTTTACAGAAAGGCAATAGGCTATCGAGGCCACCTGAAAGGCCAGTGACAGCCTGCTGCTCCTCGAAGGGCAGGTGGTCTGTGTGGGTCCCCCCAACCCTTTCAGCTCCATCCTGGTGAGAGAACTGTATTCTAAGGGCAAAGACCATTTTGTTTTTCTCTATCTGGGTCTTTTAAAATAAAAAACTACTTGCTGCACAATTAACACTGAATGGGTAGCATTAAAGATACAAGGTTTCAAGGAAGGGCCTCACTCTTCCCAGTGACCCTCTTTCTCAGACCCTGTCTGCAGGCCACATGGCTTCATACGGTGGCGACAGTTACCCAGATGTGACTGTGAATTCTGACATTTCATAGCCTTTCCAGAAATGTATCTTGTGGGACCCACACACAGATAAGATGAGAAAAACCAATGATGCTGTTTAACCCAAGGCACTGAAAATACAGAAACTGTCACAGGGATGAAGCAATAGAGAAGACCGCCATAAAGCAGGTGACGAGCAGAAAGTGTGTATGGGGGAGGGACGGGGGGGCGGGGGGCAGGGCAGGAAGCAAATCCCCA